TGTCCTCACTTTTAACTTTTACAGTAGCATGCTTAAACAAGCACTGAAGTCTTTAAAATATGCTAACACTCAAAATAACAAAAGATAACACTACCTATAAAAGATCGAATCTTTATTTGCAAAGCAATGATAATATTACCTACAATAATTCACTAGCTTTTATCTTAACCTATTATTCTGCAGATAGAACACTCCACTTTCAAGAAATTGGGCATAATTTCTGCAAAAATTCTAAACAGACTTTCCTGCCCTTAGTTAGTCAATAAACATTTCAAGTTTGAAGTATATATCTTAAATGCATTACAATTTAAAAATTGACATTAAAAGTTTGTACTAATTAAGTTTGACAATCTTTGAAAATTGACCTTAGAAAAAGTAACAATATGTAAAATAGTGCCAAAAATTTTGCAAAAATAATTTCAGGTTATCTAACTCTTACATGGTATCATATTTTGACAGTTAACATGTATATCAAGTTTGAAGTGAAAACTGATAGTTTTGAGAAGATGGACCTCAACAAAAAGATTCAATAATGGGAAACATACTTTTAAGAATATATTTATTATTTATTAAGCTACCATAATTTTTTATACAGAGCTTTTGCACTTAAATAAAATAAACTAGAAATGTGTCCATAGGATACAGGTGTCCGTACATTTCCACTGTTTTGTCAATCTAATGGACTCAAGGTTAAATGTTTTTGGGCTACGTGTGACGCATGTTGAAAAATAACTCAGACAAAGCAGCACAAATTCACATGCTTATCAATATATTCCTGCGCAGTTTCATTACTATAAGTCAAATATTTGTTTAGCTATGCACAACACAAGATGAAAATAGCAAATTTTTACTATGTCAATGGGCTATAGCTCTGACAAAACAGAATAAATCAACAATTGAAACCTCAAGTACACAACATCACATGCTGAGCAACATTCATGTAAAGTTTCATGACCCTACGTCAAATAATTTTTTAGCTATGTGCAACACACAAGTTGAAAATTGCAAAATTTTTACAAAGTCAAGGGCAATAACTGTACAAATATTTAATAAATCCACATACAAACACTCAGGTGCACAACTACACATGCTGATTAATATTCCTATAAAGTTTCAGCAGACATTTTCCCAAAAAATCTTACGACAATTTTTTATCGTAAGAGAAATCTTACGATAAATCTCCTTTTCACAAAAAATCTTAAGAAAATCTTAAGTGCAAAATCTGTCGTAACTTTACGATAGGTCTTCCCCGTTCGTAAGTGTAATTTTTTCTCTCTTAAGGGTAAAATATCATGTATCTCTTACCTAAACTGAATAAAAACAAACAAAAAGTTGGACGACAAATATATATTAAGCAAACAGTATGCTATAAATTACACAAATTGAGGTATAATTATTATTCAACATAAACATTTGTGACGTCATGACTTGATGACGTCACGATGGAGAGGGTTATGAATAGTTTAAATGTGAACTATACTGTAGTATTATTGAAAACTAATAATTTGTACATTTGGTGAGTTCAATTTCATTGTCAGCATGCACTAGTGGTACCTTTTTATTTATTAATAACATAGTAGACCTTCTTTCTGAATCTTTTAGATATTCATAATTATCATAAATTATATCAGTTTAAATCATTTTTTCGTTCTTATTGAAATTTGATTGTGTTCAATAGATATTTCAAGCTCTTTATTTCTTGATTTTAAAACCGGAATCAAATATAGAGCATGCACATCAATATCAAATGAACGTTGCTAGGGATGTTTTTATCGTAAGATTTATCGTAAGTGAATTTTTTATCTTAAGATAAAATTTTAACTTACGAATGGCTTTGTGAAAATGACTTAAGATTTAACTTACGATTATCGTAAGTGAAAAACTTAAGATAAATCGTAAGATTTTTTGTGAAAATGTCTGCAGGATTCTAGGTCTATTGAGACACAAAAGAGAACGGATGGACGGACAGATGGATTGACACTGGTAAATCTAAATGCTCCCCTCCCCCCTCCCCTACAGTGGGGCACAAAAAAGATTAAAGGCAGTCTTATTAAGAAAATACATACAGCACATTGAAGACATTGCGGGAAATCTGCAGATGCATGAGGAGTTCTGACTTTCTGAGTGACAGTTTGTGCATACAATTTCTGACGAAACTTCCTATTTTGGTATATCCATTTTTCAGTCTGGCAGGAACACTCAGGTGAGCACTAAAAAATATATATATTTCATCAAATTTACTTATTACAACATATAAAAGCTTCAATATTCAATCTTATTCTTAATAGAATGGTTAAAAAAAAAATCTGAAACCATACATATGCATATAAAAAAAATATTAAGTAACTAATATTTGAAACGGCTGATTTTTTTATTTCCAAACTGCATTTACAAATTGAACCCAAAACATATTTCTAAAACACTATAGCAGTATAAATAATAATTGTAATTCCAGCCTCGAATCCTTTACCTTTTTGCATGTTCAGTAAATCCAACTTACCCATCTTTCTTCAGGAAAAATGATTCATCACTGTCTTTGTCTTCACTACCATGACATTTATTACCTGCTGATGTATCTTGACTGTCTTCATAGAAGTAGCATCTAACTTGAGAATTTGACATCATTGTTACAATTCATATTTAAAGAATTCTCTGTTTCTTTACAAACATCAGCATTCCATTTTAACACTGTAATCTATTTGCTGATCAACTTCTGGTAAGATTTTTTATGTTTTTTTTTTCATTTTCATCTTCAGTTTTAATAGATTTACAACCTACTGGCTACTGTCTCCTTTCTTTCACTCCCCTTTTTGCTTCTCTTGCCCTACTGCCTGCACTTTCCAGCACCACGGGATTTAGATAATGTTTTAGCAGTTGCAGCTTTATAGGTTGTCTGTAACTTTGAAGACCTTAAGTTTGGATTGGTTTGGAAAGGAGCATTTACATGAACCGGTACTATTTTCCTTGTACCAGAACTGCTTTGGGGTCTTTGAGATATTTTTTGTCTCTCAATCTTTTCAACAGGGTTAGCTTTGCTTAGTCCTTTACCTTGTGGCTTTCCACAACTCACAGGCTTATTTTTAGCAGGTGCACTTGCATGATGTGCTGTCTCTTGAGGCACTTTAGATGTTTGAACATTGCCGACAATTTCAACTTCTTGTAACCTCTTTTGTAATTCTTTCTTATCACCAGTTTCCATTCTAGTTTTGTCATTTTGGTTTAAGTCATGGTCAATTTTGGTCTTCTGTTTTACACTTTGAATAGTCTTTGGCTTTTTGGGCTCTTCAAGCTGGGTGCCGAGAATAAATTAATAAAACAAGTTACATAAATTCAGATTAAGCTGTAAACCTTAATTTGCAAAATATCAAATTTGTGAAACAATTACAGTGTAGAGATACTCTATGAAGAGATATTTTATTGTTTAAGTGAATAGAATAGCTCTTCCTATTTTATAAATATAATAGTCAAGCTAAAAATGTACACAGATTATATCATTTCTTAATAAATTTATGTTACATGAAAATTGAAGCAAAAGTCTACATAATTTTTGTCTTTAGTCTTAAATTTGCTGTTACCTTTTTCTGTAAGTCCCTAGCTTTCTGTGCTTTTGACAACAACTGATCCATCATTAATAATCCTTCCTTTTCTTCTGCCGTTAACCTGTCATCACTATTCTCAAGCTCATCATTCTTCTTCTCTGTCAAAATCATAAATTATTCTTCAAATTAATCTTACGTTAAAAGTATTTTCTTTCATACTGTATGATTTCACCCTTTACCTCATATATACGCGAAACAACGCACTTTTGACCCCCTCCCTCTTTTATGCCTCAAAAAGTGAAACTAGAACTCTGCGAGTCGGATGTGTCGCCTTGTGAACAATATAGTTTAGGAGAAATGGCCAGGACAAAAGTGAAATTTGAAAATCAAAAAAGGGCAATAACTCAAAAAATATGAAATGCAGAGCAGCAGTTACTGTGCACTGCACTTCTTATCAATAAGATCTATCATCCTATTAAGTTTCAAGTCTAAAGCTTTTATAATTTATGAGAAATGGCCTGGATGAAAATAAAGTTTCAAAATTAACAAGGGCAATAACTCAAAAAAGAAGAAATGCAGAGTACCAGTTCTTGGGCACTGCACTTCTTCTTAATGAGATCTATCATCCTATGAAGTTTCATGTCCATAGCTTTTATACTTTAGGAGAAATGGCCCGGACAAAAATAAAGTATGAAAATTAACAAAGGGCAATAACTCAAAAAATAAGAAATGCAGAGTACCAGTTCTTGTGCACTGCACTTCTTCTTAATGAGATCTATCATCCTATGAAGTTTCAAGTCCATAGCTTTTATACTTTAGGAGAAATGGCCAGGACAAAAATAAAGTATGAAAATTAACAAAGGGCAATAACTCAAAAAATAAGAAATGCAGAATACCAGTTCTTGTGCACTGCACTTCTTCTTAATGAGATCTATCATCCTATGAAGTTTCAAGTCCATAGATTATATACTTAAGGAGAAATGGCCCGGACAAAAATAAAGTATGAAAATTAACAAAGGGTAATAACTCAAAAAATAAGAAGTGCAGAGTACCGGTTCTTGTGCACTGCATTTCAGGTCATTGTAAGAAGTATGCATACCAAGTTTGAAGTCAATCCGACTTATAATGACTGACTTATGCTCCGGACAAGCTTAAGGGGACTCTGACACCGACAACGACACCGCCGACAAAAGTAACCCCTATTATGTCGCCTTTTTCAAGGCGACACAAAAATGTTTGGGGGGTTTGAATTGGGGCGGTAGTCCCCCTCATCACCAAGAAATGTTTGGACTTGTGAGAGGCTAAAATTGACCCCAGGTCGATCATAAGGTAACGTGTAACCAACGCTGAAAAGCCTTTGAATCTATCTCAATCCCTTGAGAAGTTGCAGCACTTTGAAATAAATTTTGATGGAAAAAATCAAGGCAAAATAGTGATTTTTGGCAATTTTGAGATGTCCCCTCCTTGCCATGGTAACAGGAAATTTTAGACTGAGCATGTTGTTACAAAGGAAATGGTCCAGTCAACATTTGTGCCAAGTTTGATTAGTATTGAAGCATTTGTCATAGTTTCATAGCAGTTTGAACTTGTAACAGGAGGCTTTTCAATGAAAACGGTCATTTTTCACAATATGCTCATGAGGGAAAGGGTTAACAAGCATAACCAATTGTAAAATTTTCATTTCTTGCATATTTTCTTCCAGAGGTGTTTTGAGTTTTACTCATTGCATGACATGGAAAGTTAAACTTGGTAACTAAAATGTTATGCCTAAAAGTGTTGGAATATACTTATGTTGGAATTTTACTTATGTGCAACAGAGCCAGTTCTTGACCTTTGTAATTAAAATAAGGTTCTCCCATTACAACACACAACAAAATAATGGAATAAACATCTGTACCATAAAAAAATATGCCTGACATTAGAGTATTAGTGGAATAGTTTAGTTTTCATGGAATTGTTATGTTATAATTCACTATTGTATAGGGTGAGGACCCATTTTAACACATGCTTTTAAATAATGCTTAACAAGAGCCATGTCAACATGGCCATCCCCTGCCGAATGTGTTTGCTCATTGGAAGAATGTATATGTAGTAGAGCGGAATAATTCCATTTTAAGAGGTCTTTTGGTAAAGAAAACTGATGGCTATAATGATTACAGATTTGAAACCTATGTGAATACTGATGGCTGAAAATAACAAAGGGCAATTACTGAAAAATAATGCAGGGTAGGTTATCATTCTTGTGTGCTGCATCCCTCCTCAGTAAAATCTATCCACCTATGAAGTTTCAAGTTGATACCTCAAATACTTTTTGAGAAAAAAATTGAATTGAAAAATTAAGTATGAAAAAGAACAAAGGGCAATAACTCAAAAATTATAAAAGGTAGAGTTATCATTCTTGTGCAGTGCACACCTCCTGAGTGAGATCTATGCACCTATGAAGTTTTCATTTTGATATCTCAAAGGCTTTTTAAGTTATGCTCTGGACAAAAAATTAATTTTGAAAAATAACAAAGGGCAATAACTCAAAAATAATGCAGGGTAGAGTTATCATTCTTAAACACTGCACTCCTCCTCAATGAGATCTATCCACCTTTGAAGTTTCAAGTTGATACCTCAAATACTTTTGAGATAAGCTCTGGACAAAATAGCATAAAAAAAACAAAGGGCAATAACTCAAAAATTGTATAGGGAAGAGTTATCATTTTTGCGCACAACATTCCTCCTCAATAAGATCTATCCACCTATGACATTTCATGTTGATATCTCAAACACTTTTTGAGTTATGCTCCACTCAGGTGAAAAATTAGGTATGAAAAATAAAAAAGGGCAATAACTCAAAAATTATGAAAGGTAGAGTTATCATTCTTGTGCACTGCACACCTCCTGAGTGAGATCTATGCACCTATGAAGTTTCATGTTAATATCTCATAGACTTTTGGAGTTATGCTCTGGACAAAAATCAATTTTGAAAAATAACAAAGGGCAATAACTCAAAAATCATGCAAGGTAGAGTTATCATTCTTGTGCACTGCACTCCTCCTCAATGAGGTCTATCCACCTATGAAGTTTCAAGTTGATAACTCAAATACTTTTAGAGATATGCTCCGGACAAAAATGTCGGACGGAAGGACGGACGGACGGACGGACGTCCGGCCGAAATGGAATAAGGGGCCATTTCTTTTGTTATTTTCTATTGTTTAATAGAGGGCCAATGGCCCCTTACTCTATTGTTACGGAATGAACTCTATTGTTCTCTTTTGTTCTGTTTACAGTTAGATGGCCCCCTATCCCTTTTCGGTAGTGCGGAAGGACGGAAGGTCGGACGGACGGACGGAGACTATTTCTATATCCTCCGCCGAAATTTTTCGGCGGGGGATAACAAGTTAATAGAAACCAAATATTTTAGCTAACAGAATGGGTACCAATTTAATGTACATGTATAAGCATATCTCACAAAAAGGGCAAGGATTAGCATTAGTAAATTAAATGATTTTTCAATAATGACCTTCAATACAATTATATAAATATAGAAATCCCTGTAAAATCATTTCACATACACATACTATTTACCTTTATTTGAAGCTGTCTGTCTCTCAGATTTCTCTTCTTCTAGTTCAGCTTTGACTGGCCTGTCAATTAATTACAATGGCAGATCATTACATATACAAACATATTGTCATAAATATATATCTTATCATGAACTTAATATTATTCAAATCTGTCATTTCAGTCTTGTACATTTGTTGTAAATGCTTGCATTTTACAGTAACACGAACAAAAACAAGGGTATACCTTTGTGAATTTTTTTTTCTGCTTCACATTAAGAGGAAGATTTTACATACCCTCATGCAAAAGTAAGGAATACACAGAATTACCAGCTGGCCTAAATACACAGGCTACACACAATGCTCAGTGCATACAAATTCTTTATCCATAAATATAATGCTTTCCCTCTTTAGCTTATTGGTTACCATCATTTATATATATATAGCTTACATTAATAATTTCTGTCATATTTTGCGGTTCGGATAGGAATATCCGTCCCAAGGTGGCCCGCCCATTGGGCGGTAACGAGGCTTGCCGAGTTACCGCCCATGGGCGGGTGACCGAGGGACGGATATTCCGATCCGAACCACAAACATATGTCAGATGTTTTTTCTTGCATATTCTACCATATTCCATTATATTTTAAATTTTTTATCTTTATTTTCAATGAAAATTTATATCATAACAACCGTAACTACTTTCTTACAACAGCGTATGAATTACAACTTCATTCATAACGGTAAATTGACGTCATCCTAACCGTGCCATTGTACAGCACGCGACTCATCTGGAACCCCCCATGCCAGATGAAATTTCCGGCATGGGTAAAACTCGAGGAAACGCCAGTCTGATATGCAAGAAAAGAATTATATGCATTACACTCACCATGCTTTGAACAGTTGTTTTAAATATCTAATAGACCTTTCTTGCTTCAATTTCTGCTCCTGGATTCTCCTGCACTGCTCTGCTAACCAATCCATTCTAAAATGAAGAAAAGGGTATAATTCTCTATAGAATACTGCTACAGTATTGTTTAAGACTTTAAGGATCAGGTTATCAATCATAGGAGGGATTTAAAATAGGTCATCAATACCTGTTATGTGTATCATGTGATACACATTATCAGGAAAGTAGGACTGTATTATAAACCCTTAGAAAACAATACTCCTAATGCTAAATTTTGATCAGAGCATTTTCCTTTTGACCATAAGATATGTCTACAATACAGACTGATGTTAGAATTTTTTTGAATTAAAAGTGAACTTTTTTTATACAATTGTAGCCTCATATTTTCAATGTTTACCAAAAGAAAAAATAACTTTTGGTGTCTTTTATTAATTATGTTTAGAAAAGAAAATGTTTTTATTAAGGTGAATTAATTTTAAGATATGAGTCAGTTAAAACTAGAACTGTCACTGTAATGGCGTGAATACCCCAACATACCACTTTGTCAGAATCAACAGTAGCCATTTAGAGCTCAAGGACAACGTCCCTGCCAAATCTGAGGTTAGGCTAATTTTTTTTTATATTTTGGTTTACTGATTTTTTCCAAAAAAAGGTAGGGTCGGCGGCAGGAAAAAAAAGAAAGAAAAAAAAAGGGTTTTCATAACTATAAATGTGGTGCATACATATACATAGTACTTACTAGAGCAATGAAATTAAATACATCGCCGATTGTCTATTCCAAAGATTGTCTAAATACACAAAAAAAAATCTTTTGCTGACATTGCCATTGTTTAAAAACACACATGAAATCTACTTATCTATCATTAATAGTAAGTGCAATTTTTTATTTTGTTTGTTTGAAAACCTGTATTCTATCTGCTTTTAAAGACTAATTTTTTTTTTGTTAAATCTGAAAATACTGATCTTGTCAATTGCAGCAGATTTCTCTCGCTCTGTCCTTGAATGTAAATGCTTACGTAATTTGGCGTGTTTTTTTTTGTATTTGTAGTTTTTTTTTTACATTTTTATGCATTTGGACCTTAAATGCATTGATGAAATATGATCAAAGCTGTGAGAATGGCTTGACCCATTTAACAGACATTCTTTCATAATACACCAATAAACACTTTCGACAGGCTATTCTTGAGTAAAGATAACTGGTTGCGTATCTCACTGTATAAATCGTATGTAAAATAGTCTGGCATATGGTGGGTTTAACAGTTAATTTAAATACTTACTGTGACGTTTCTTTGTTAGCGGCGTATTTCAAGACAACACAGAATTTTTGGGGGGGGGCAGATTTTTTTTTTCCTTTTCCCAAAATACAGAGTCGGCGGGTCAGTAAACCGAAATATCAAAAAATAATGGCCTTACTAAGCCAGTACATTGCCAAGTTATGTATTCTACAGTGATTTTTTTTTATCAATTTTCAGTGTCTTTCTGAAGGGGAAAATATAGCGTGATAAATCAGAAAAGGGGAAAATCAAATTCTAACAACTGAGAATGGTTTACCCACACATGTTTTATAATATTCAATTTCAATTCAATTTAACATCCATGATACATGCAGGGGTGTTCTGTAGGGACAGCGTTCTGTCTTAAGTTGATATAAGTCAGCTCCTGTTAAGTCATGGCTCTAGTGAAAAATGTGCAAAGGGCATTTCAGGGGGAAAATAGTAGCATTTTTAGGGGAAAATATACCTATTTAGAGCTAGGGGAAACAGCCTTTATTCAGCTGTAAAATGCAGGAAAAAAAATCACTGTTCTACATGCTTCAAATGTCAAAATCAATACACTACAAGCGTTTGAGCAGACAAGCTTATTAAAGTAAAAATCCATGTGACCTTAAACTCTGGCAGAGTCAACTTAAAATCAATAGGGGTCATCTATTAGTCATATAAAGCCTAAATGAGGACTGTTGACCAAAGCATATCTTAAGCAATTGAGCAGACAAGCATTTTTTGGTCAAGGCCCCTGTGACCTTGACCTTTGACCTCAAAATCAATAGAGGTCATCTTATGGTCATTATCAACTTCCATGCCAAATATGAAGACTGTGGGTCAAAGGTTTCTTAAGTTATTGGGCCGACAAACTTTTTGAAGTCAAGGTCCTTGTGACATTGACCTTTGACCCAGTGACCTAAAAATCAATTGGGATCATCTTCTAATCATGACTAACCCCCGATGCGAAATATGAAGACTGTGGGTCAAAGGAATTTTAAGTTATATTCAAGGCCCATATGACCTTTGACCCAGTGACCTCTTTAACAAGAATTTGTAACAGAGTTACCAACGTCCCCCGCTCCGGGAGTTTTCTATGAAGCATAAAATTGTGTTATTTCAAAAGATTGAGGTATGGATCTCAGGACATTCAGTCCAAAATTATGATCAATGCTAGATCTGCAAATGTAACAATAATCTAATCATTGTGACTACTTGTGCAAAGTATTTTCAAAATCCCTTAATCTATGAAGAAGTAATGGACGGGACAAAAAATATACCAAATAACAGACTCTGTTAACCTTTGACCTCTAAGTGTGACCTTGACCTTAAGAGGTAGGGGTGCAGGTGTTGTACCTGACATATCGGCTTATTATTGTGACTATTTGTGCCAAGTTATTCCAAAATCCCTTGAACTATGAAGAAGTTCTAGATTCGACACAAAATATATCCTATAACAGACTATGTTAATTTTTGACCTCTAAGTGTGACCTTGACCTTGAAGGTAGGCATGCAGGTGTTGCGCATGACACATCCTCTTATTATAGTGACTATTTGTGTGAAGTATTTTCAAAATCCTTTTATCTATGAAAAAGTTATAGACCTGACACAAAATATACCCTGTAACAGACTATGTAAGTATTTGACCTCCAAGTGTGACCTTGACCTTGGAGGTAGGTGACCGGTTTTTGTGCATGACACATCATCTGATTATTGTGAACAATTATGGCAAGTATTTACAAAATCCCTTCATAGATAAGAAAGTTATGGACTGGACACGACATATACCCTCAAATAGACAATGTTGACCTTGAATGAGCAGGTACGACCTTGACCCTGAAGGTACGGGTCTGGTTGTTGCGCATGACACGTCGTCTTTTTATAACAAACATTTGTGCCAAGTTATCTCAAATTCCTTTGATAAATGACAAAGTTATGGACCGGACACGAAATATACCCTGTAAAAGACTATGTTAATATTTGACCTCAAAGTGTGACCTTGACCTTGAAGGTAGGTGACTGGTTTTTTGCGCATGACACATCATCTGATTATTGTGAACAATTATGGCAAGTATTTACAAAATCCCTTCATAGATAAGAAAGTTATGGACCGGACACGACATATACCCTCAAATAGACAATGTTAACCTTGAATGAGCAAGAACGACCTTGACCCTGAAGGTACGGGTCTGGTTGTTGTGCATGACACATCCTCTTATTATAACAAACATTTGTGCCAAGTTATCTCAAATTCCTTTGATAAATGACAAAGTTATGGACCGGACACGAAATATACCCTGTAACAGACTATGTTAATATTTGACCTCAAAGTGTGACCTTGACCTTGAAGGTAGGTGACTGGTTTTTTGCGCATGACACATCATCTGATTATTGTGAACAATTATGGCAAGTATTTACAAAATCCCTTCATAGATAAGAAAGTTATGGACCGGACACGACATATACCCTCAAATAGACAATGTTGACCTTGAATGAGCAAGTGTGACCTTGACCCTGGAGGTAGGGGTCTGGTTGTTGCGCATGACACATCGTCTTATTATAATAAACATTTTTGCCAATTTATTTCAAATTCCTTTCATTTATGACAAAGTTATGGACCGGACACGAAAGTGTGACAGACGGACGGACAGACGGACGGACGGAGCCTATTTCTATATCCCCCTTTTTTCTTCGAAAAGGCGGGGGACAATAATAGGAGTCATGTACTAAACATGACTAACCTCCATGCCAAATATGAAGACTGTTGACAAAAGCATTCTTAAGCAATTAAGCGACAAGCTTTTTTTAATCAAGGCCCCCTTGACCTTTGACCCAGTGACCTAAAAATCAATACGGGTCATCTACTAATCATGACTAACCTCTATGCCAAATATGAAGACTGTTTGTCAAAGGAATCTTAAATTATTGGGCCGACAAGCTTTTTTTAGTCAAGGCCCGTGATCTTTGACCTGGTGACCTCAAAGGGATCATCTACTTATATCACGACCAATCTAATTACCAAAAAATGAAAGCTGTTGGTAAAAAGAATCTTAAGTTATTGGTAGAGCAAACCAATGGACGAACGGACAGACAAGGGTAAATCTAAATGTCTCCCCCCCCCCCTCCTGCTAAAGTGGTGGCACAAAAATTTTGGAAATAGAATAAAATACATGGTGATTATGACAGTAGGGGTGCGGATTTTTACCGGCGAACATTTTTATTTTGTGTATTATTATAGATGTTGAAATATGAATTTTTTTCAAAACGGCTTATATTAAGTTTTCTTGATAAATATGATCAGTACATGTGGTGAGATTGACAAATATGCATTTTATTTGGATTTTAAAAGGGGTTTTGAGCTCCAAACCCCAAGTGTCTGTGGTAAATGGTAATCGATACACGTCAACATTTCGTGGCCAAAGTGTCTGTATCATCTGAGGTGCCCATATCCAGTGTTGCATCTAGGCCGCACTATTGCGCAATTTGCGCATTTTTTATGCAGATCGCGCATTTTTATTAAGTCAGTGCCCGCCAACTCGCGCATCTGACTATCTTTTCAACTTAATTCAGTTTATCTTCATCGTATCTAAAAACTATCTCAAACGCTTCAGCCATATTTGTTTTCACTTGTGGTTATGACTAAAATACGTACTTAATCGCGTGTAGCAGCCGACCTGAGTCATCTTGCGTGTGTTTTGTAATATTGGTCAATATCTTATTTTTTCTACTTCCGTTTTTGAGCGGACGATAACTGTCAAAAATGCCTGAAGGTATTACAAATGAATTCTTTTCAGTATGTCATATTGTAAGGTAAGTGTATGTCCCCCACATTTTTTTCAAATCCCCCACATTTTTCAATTAAGTGGGGGACAATCCCCCATAATTTTGAAATTCTAGATGCAACACTGCATATCAAGATCCAAAGTGTCCAAAACTCTAGTCTAGCCTGCTAGTCATAATCAGAATTGTTTGTTAAGCAGTATGATGTAGATTTAGTATGTCTTAAAACTCTGGTCCGAAATGTCCGTGGTCCGAAATAGCCATAAAAAGAGGCATTTTGTCAAATAAGTACAGAAAGCAGCAAAAAATAAAGTAACTAATTAGAAAATTTGTTTTGTTGCATTCATATACAGTTACTGTTATGGTGAATTTTTTAAGTATAGCTAATAACTTGCTTAAATCTGTATATTTTTACAAAATTTGCATTTCGCAGATCGCACCTTTCGGCTCTTACCCGTCTGTCCTCGTTATTATTGAAAATAGCCGAGATGTTCCGATAGTTATCAATCAATACGGAAACGGCCGAGATTATGCGACTAGGAAGATCGTTAATCTTCGTAAATAACCGGCGAGTTGGCGTCATGTTGCGAGTGAGGAAAAAGTCAGAGAGTTTCAGAATGGAAAAATTTCCGTCATAATCCGGACAAACGCCATATTGGAAAGATGGCCACGAAGGAGTCCAAACGAGTTGCAGACTTACGAGTTGTTGATTTAAGATTACAGTTGGAGAAACGTGACTTGGATAAATCAGGTGTTAAAGCTGTTCTTGTCGAAAGACTGCAAAAGGTTAACACTTACTACAATTCTTACAAAACATAATTTTATGTCGCCCGAGTCCTTTGGCTTTGGGTGCGTCACAAAAAATTTATGCTTCTTGAAGTTCGTCTTCGAGACTATCACTACAGTCTACAGCGATTTTTTTTTCAAATTATCAAAACAACCCGTGACTTTCTGAAGGGAAAATATAGCGCAATAACTTAGAAAAACGGGAAAGCCTGAAATCAAATTCTAACAACTGAAAATGGAATTTACCCACACAATTTACATAAAAGGTAAAGGGTCAACTCGGCCCTCTATAATAGCAGAGCAACAGAGAAGGTGCGAATTTGCGTATTATCGCAATTAATTTTATATAATACGCAATTGATTTTTTAAGAATGCGTGTCAAAACCCATTGAAAAAAATAAAATATGCAATTGTCTTAAAAACCTGTGCGTATTGTCATTTTCACCACCGCAAAATTGATCTGTCGTTCGCTCGTATATTTGGACAAATTATGTCGATATGCATGTTATCCGAATATTCACGAATCAATGCTCCAAAGACCGAATAAGCCATATCAATTAAGCATGAGACCGTCAATTTGTCTACTCAGGTCGACGGTCTTAATAGACCGGCAGAGACCATTGATTTTGCGGAGACTGTCATTAAGTAGGTCCCAGCACAGGCAGGAGTATCGGACCTGGGAAGAAAAAAATATGACCGGATTGATAAAAAAACCTGTGTTCATCTTAAAAGTGTAAAAAAAAAACAACAAAAAAAATGTAAATAATGACCCCCTTTAAAAATATACTATATCACGCCCGGCAAACTGTCACTCCATTTCAAAATTGTGGTGTACGGTAAAACGAGCGAACGGCATTTCCGAGATAGAGCAGAAGGCCGATTTAAACGCCTAATTGTAAGTATTGTTTATGTTTTTGTCTTGTTGTTCATTTAAGTTGTATTTTTTCGAAAAACGGAAAATGTGGTTCCGTGTAGGATTGATTTAGGCTTCCAATTATCTTAGCTGTTACAAAAAGAAAATTATATTAAGCCCGGGAGAACTTTTCTCCCTGACGAAGCGAACGATGATTTGTAGAATATTGAACTTCCCAACCATAGAAATGCCACACCTTTCGGATTTCTTGAAAAAGTGTATTAGTAAATTATCAACCCGTAATAAGAACTTGTCCTTCGTGCAAAATAAATTACTCCTGAAGGATTTCTTGAATTTGTAAACCGATATTTTTCGAAAGTAGTGGAGCGAAAGGGCAAGAGATGGAGCAAAAGGTTCGATGTTGAGCGCAAGGCGATATTAATTTGACATATAAGGAGGAGCGTAGTCTATGATTTTTTACATATAAAAGCTATAGAAGTTAAAATAGACGTGATCAAGTGTTCAGACCGATATATATATACATTTTGAAGAGAACTAATAAATTGTGATATCCTTTCAACGACTATATAGCGTAATAAATGTAATCGCAAAGGTGTCACCTATGGCTTCCGTGTAGATTCCTTCATAAATGTTCGAATTTTGGATGAGGCCCAACCATTGAATCATACACATTAATGCATGGCATAATACAGGATGCCACTTATTCAAAGTCAATCATGATTTTTGACACGGTGATGTACATTTTAAAACGTGTGTCCGTGCAAATGCCACAAAATCGATTATTATTTTCGTCTTTAAGTGTAAATAGAAATTTCTACTATAACTAGGTCTATTATATTATTGATAATTTTAGTCCGTACACCGACTGAGTTCTGCCTCCTTTTGAGAGGAAAATAATAAACTAAACAACAATGCTAAATAAGGGAGGAAGTATCTTGAAACATAACTGGAACACGTGTTATATCCTTATAACGACTGACACCTTGTCAACCATTTTCATAGCGATTCCCCACCTTTCAAATTCATGAAAACGTGGCTTATTTGTGTTTTGCTCAGAACAGGTACGTTAGAGCTATTAATTACAGAAAGTAATTGTGAACTGAACTCGGTAGTAGTGATCCATTTAATTTAATGTGTTCCATGCATTGCATAATTTTGTTTCTGTTCTGCACCTTGAATTTCTAACTTTTCGAAAAACATAACATTTTGGCGTAAACAATCGAGTTACACGTACCTGCTCGGAAACATTTGTTCGCGGTAGAACTAAAAATATTCGACTTTATCGCATTTGCACGGACACACGTTTTTAGCTCGACTATACGAAGTATATGGAGAGCTGTCCTACTCGCCCCGGCGTCCGCTTCCGCGTCCAGATTTTAGATTAAAGTTTTGGTGCAGTAAAATATTTTTCCCTATAACTTTGTCATTTCTTAAGGTATCAACTTCAAACTTCAAATATATGTTCCTTATCATCAACCACATCTTATGTGACAAGGTTCATAACTCTAGCACCAATATTTTCAGATTTATCTCCCCTTGAACTTAGAATTTTCCTTAAAAAATACTATGTTTTACTGTTTCTTCTTTATTTCTTAAGGGATCAACCTCATACTTCAAATATATGTAGCTTATGATCATCCCCATCTTATGTGACAAGGTTCATAACTCTAGCACCAATGTTTTCAGATTTATCTCCCCTTGAACTTAGAATTTTCCTCAAAAAGTACTATTTCTTACTGTTTCTTCTTTATTTCTTAAGGGATCAACCTGATACTTCAAATATATTTATGTTATCATCATCCCCATCTTATGTGACAAGGTTCATAACTCTAGCACCAATATTTTCAGATTTATCTCCCTTTGAACTTAGAATTTTCCATAAAAAATATTATTTTTTACTGTTACTTATTTATTTCTAAAGGGATCAACTTCATACTTCAAATATATTTACGTTATCATCATCCACATCTCATTTGACAAGGTTCATAACTCTAGCACCAATATTGCAAGAATTATCTCCCCATAAACTTAGATTTTTTGGTAGAAAAATGTTATTTTTTATTATAACTTTTTTATTTTTAAAGGTATCTACCTCAAACTTCAAATACTTATTCCTTATCATCAATTACATTTTATGTGACAATGTTCATAACTCTTGAAGCAATATTTACAGATTTATCCCTCTTTGAACTTAGGATTTTCTTTAAGAAATATAATAACTTCTTTACTTTTTAAGGTATCTGCTTCAAACTTCAATATATATTTCTTATCATTACACAAATGTTGTGTGACAAGGTTCATAACTCTAGCATGACTATTTCTAGAATTATTCCCCTTGATCTTGGAATTTATTTTAACAAATATTATTTTTTTACTATAACTTAATACATAATTATACATAATTGATTTTTCTTTCATAGTTTTGTCCTCCTTACTGCGTCCAGTATTTTATTAGTCGAGCTTCGCTGTCTCCTGTGACAGCTCTTGTTAAATGTACATAACCGTGTCAAAAATCATGATTGACCTCGAATAAGTGGCATCCTGTATTATGCCATGCATTAATGTGTATGATTCAATGGTCGGGCCTCACCCAAATTTCGAACATAAGTAATGAAGGAATCTACACGGAAGCCATAGGTGACACCTTTGCGATTACAGTTATTACGCTATAGTCGTTGAAAGGATATCACAATTTATTAGTTCTCTTTAAAAGGTATATATATCTCGGTCTTAACACTTGATCATGTCTATTTTAACTTCTAAAGCTTTTATTTAACAAAATCATTAACTACGCTCCTCCTAATACGTCAAATTAATATCGCCTTGCGCTCAACATCGAACCTTTTGCTCCATCTCTCGCCCTTTCGCTCCACTACTTTCGAAAAATATCGATTTACAAATTTAAGAAATCCTTCAGGAGTAATTTATTTTGCACGAAGGACAAGTTCTTATTACGGGTTGATAATTTACTAATACACTTTTTCAAGAAATCCGAAAGGTATGGCATTTCTATGGTCGGGAAGTTCAATATTCTACAAATCATTGTTCGCTTCGTCAGGGAGAAAAGTTCTCCCGGGCTTAATATAATTTTCTATTTGTAACAGGTTAGATCATTGGAAGCCTAAATCAATCCTACACGGAACTACATTTTCCGTTTTTCGAAAAAATACAACTTAAATAAATTACAAGACAAAAACATAAACAATACTTACAATTAGGCGTTTAAATCGGCCTTCCGCTCTATCTCGGAAATGCCGTTCGCTCGTTTTACCGTACACCACAATTTTGAAGTGGAGCGACAGTTTGCCAGGCGTGTATATGTTAAGAGAAGGCCGGAAACTCCAGATTCGAGCCCACAAGCAAGGGATTCATTTCCCGGGCCGTTGTGAAAACAATTGGCCAGACAATTAAAAAAAACTTTTATCACTATTTCACGTTTATATTAAGCTTCAAAATGAGACCAACCCCAAGACCCTGTGGGTCCCAGCTGTATCAATAGACGCTTTGAAGGCAATATGGTGTCATACAAAAGGGAAAATGATTTGAAACAAAACAGTCATAAGTAATCAAAAATCAGTCAGAAAACATACATGTTAAAAATATTATGAAATATAACATGAGCATTTTATATAAAAAATAAATCAATTGTGAAAAGTTATAGTAAATTGTTTATCCTATTTTCTTTATAATACAGTTTTAAATTTATTGATATAAAAACCATAAAATTCATATCTTCATAATTGAATACCCAATTGATCTTGAAATCATAGGGTAACATGTTTTGGAATACCCAATTAAATGGAGCCAATACCCAATTCCAAAGGAAATGATGGAGTAATACCCAATTCACTTTTAAAGCTTATCTGTTGCTCTGAATAGAGTCTATTGAAAATTTATATTAGGATATAGATTGTTTAATTAATAAGAAATTAAGGAGTAAATTAATATGAAAAAAGCAAAGCCTATAAGCAAGCTCGATTTTCTCTATCGTAAGATAGTTAATTTTTAGCTTGACTATTCGAAGAATATGAGAGCTATTGTAGTTGCCCCGGCGTCAGCGTCCGCGTCGGCGTCTGCGTTGGTTAAAGTTTTTTGTAAAGTCAAATATCTCAATCATTACTTGAGA